CTTTAGAATGAGGCTGCTTTTAGTCATAACAGAGGGAAGCAAGCGGTCTCTCTCACGGAGGCCGCCTCGTTGAACGCCATGTTTCGATGACAGTAGCCCAGAGATGACAACCAAAACACTGGCTGTAGATACGGCCTTTCAAGTTTAGTGGCCACCATTAGTTTCTCCTTTGCGCTTCCTTCGAGTCCTAAATCTCCTAAAACTAGGTCCCTTAAATTTAGGTGAACACAACAGTTCTTATTTTCAGGAGATTATACACTAATGAAAACATACCTATGAATTATTATATACTATTTCGTCCAATAGTTCCTCCTAAATGTTGCTGGACCTTTAATGAAAGGTTATGGTGCCCCTGTAGAGCCTGAGGCATAATGTACTACTGTACACTGATGGCTTAATTAATCCTGGTGATTTATTTACCAGTAAAAATGGTCCTGCGGAGCTCTCTCTGCATTCTTTAATCAGCTGCTGTCTGGTGTTTTCATCTGGCCAACAACTGGGATCACTGGACTCAAACGGGTCTATCACCTACAGACACACACACAACATAATGATTAAAACAATCTAGAGGGGGGATGACTGAAAAGCACACAGTGCGGTGTAATAACAAATGGCCTGGTGGTGGATCAGTGACATATGATATGCTTCCATCTTTCTAATTACACAAGTTGCTGAAAAGAAAAGGCACAATGTGCTGGTTTAACTGCCACACAAACTAACACTGTACGCACAGAGTCACATTACAGCTGCTCATCCTCTTTTTTGCCTAATTTAATTAGACAAAGTTGAGTAGAACTGACTACACTATTACAGGAACGGCCTCAGGGGGATTGTGTGAAAGAATAAAGGACACACACACAACAGGAGGCTACCAAAAAATATTGCTTTTCACTGCTGGCTGGGAGCAATGTTACATAGACGAGACTTAATGATGCATGAATCTGTCTGTGTCGTGTTTAAACAGTTCAAGTCAATTATTCCTCTATTTAACTGATAGAAAATGAAGTGGATGGCAGCTTTTCAGAATAGTTTGATCTCATATTGTAAATGGATTTTGGGCTTTGCCTTTATATTTAACATTTTATGTGAAAATGTGCAAAGAAAAAAACTTTTGATTGAGAAAAATATGCAAATTTTATTAAGTTAGGACAATAATGTCGGCACCAGCAACGCATCACTGTAAACAAAAACAACTTTATTGTTTGTAACTTCATTCCAGACAAAGTCACAGATTTAAAGTAAAGAAAGTTACAATGTTTCTTCCAGCTACAGCTATATGCTCCTCTTAACTCTAATTGATATTAATAGTGCGAGTGGTAATGACAGTACATAAATTTTAATGTAGCATCAACACTGCCTGCATCCTGCCTCAGCCAGTTTGTTTATGGTGTTAAAGCGACAGAAAGGATGTAAGACATTAAGTACCGTCAAAAAAAAAAGCAGTAACAACACTCTTACAATGATCCCTGACATGTTTTGCAGTGAGCAGGATTTAGAAAAGCGTGTACTCACCCTGACATCCAGCCCCAGTGTGTGTCGACAGTGCGCTCTAAGTTTGGGGAAAACAGTGTCTCTCAGAGCTCTTCGCTCCACGACACTATCTACACAGAGCACAAACACAAACATAAGGACATACGAGAGTAATAACTTGTTTATTTGAGGAAACTCAGCTGGTAGTATGTATTATGAATCATGTACATACCATCTGGGTTGGAGCACAGGTACAGTTTCACACAGGATGAGCTGTGGGTGGACTTTGAAGGAGTCCACCGTTTTCCTCTGGAGCACATTTCAAATAAATAACTACGGCTAAAATAAGGAAAAATAAGGAAAAGTAAGGGAAGAAAACTTTTGGTATGAACATCAATGCTTCTCCTCTGCACTCTTGTTAGTCTTTCCCTCCTGCTCCACTCAGGAAATTCTGACCTCGGGTGTTTATAGAGTGTGTCATCGTGATCACACCCACTTCTACTGACTGGAACGTCTACACAACACACACACACACACACATAAACACAATTAGAGCAGATTACACACACACACACACACACACACACACATAAAGACATACATCAACAAAAACACACAAAAAAGCAGAATAACAGAAACAAAAAAACACTTTTCAATATTTTTTTATTAATTAACATTTGTACACAATAAATACAAACTTTGTTTTTTGTACAGCCAATAATAATATGCAGAAAGACTTTTGCACCTGTTCTCATTACTGTCACCATGGCAACAGTCTTTGAAAAGAGAGAAGGTTGTTTCACCACATTGTTAATAGCAGCAGCTGTGCAGCTGTGCCAAATCGAAGGATGAAAAATTAAAGAATTATATAATACATAAAATCCAAAAACAGGCCCGTATCAAATAATTAAACACTGTAGCGGACCAAAGGGACTGTCAGAAAGGGAGAATAATCTTGTTCAAAGTGGCAACTGGCAACAAAAAGCCATAAATCTTGTATTTGACAGATAGACTGATCGAGCATTTATGGTGGGAAGTTCTGCGGGACTCTTCTGTAAACCATAAACTTCAAAACAAGTTTGAAAACCGTTATAAATAAAAATCCGAGTGAGGTCAAGGAGAGGCTGCAGAGGAGCAGAGGTTGGGATCTGAAACTGTAACCTATTCCAGCATACTCAACGTTGTTAGGTGTGGATGCTACACAAAAGCTAATGCAAAAGAAAACAAAGTGTTTAGTATTTCTTCATCTCTTGCATCACTTTTTCTCAATCCGACATAATTCAACTCCACCTTGCAAAGAGGAAACCCATCAATTTGAGCCCAGATCAGGACTTTCTTTCTTTCTAACACGAATCCTAAAGCTGTGCCCCATTCCAGACTACATACTAACACTACACAGTATGCACTTTATACCAATCTTCATACTTTATACGGTTTTTGCTGTTAATATACAATAAATGAACATACTTCACAGTTGTGCACCAATATAAAATGTGCTATAATACTGCAACGTTGGAGCACAACTGATAATATCCTTAACAAAGACAAATAAACACAGACTGAATGCTTCATTTTTATATATTTCTAGAGCTATCTCAAAACAGGGCACAGTTAGTTTTAGCTGTGAGGAGCACCCTCTTATATGTTGCATCTTGGGACAATATTGTCCGTCAACACCACTCAAAGAATCAATAGAATTTCGTATCCACACTGACATCTGTGAGTTTTATTTCAAAATGTCTTCAGTGTGAGCGCTCTACGAAAGCAAACCCTGGTTGACATAAATATGTAGGCAGGAAGTGGGACACATCTTTACATCTTCAGAGTCAAACAAAGTCCTCATCTCCTTAAAACAATCACACACGCAAACAGCCAGGCCTCTCGCAGGACCAAAAACACACACACACACACACATTCTCTACAAGTCTTCATTCAAAACATCCCTTTCTATAATCACGTTGTTTTTTTTTTTGTATTTATAAGTTAAGGAAAACACCAAATTACATTGTCCACAATTATCTCTCCATCTCTTTGGAAGAGTGGAGAGCAATAATAATAATAATAAAAAAAAATTATCAGTCACACTGAAATAAAGAGGATCCACCACAGAATCAGAAAGAAAAGAATTTCTGTATTGAACTGCAGTGATTCACCAGAGTCTTTTCTATCCATTCTGATGTTACGTTAAGGTACTGCTACTTTCCAGGGAAGGTACAAATAAATAAAAGTGCTACGCTGCCCTTTAGGCAAGGAGTTTTAAAGGCTTGAAGGGTATTTAAGGGGGTAAGATTTATTTACTTTGAGTAAAAAAAACACTAAAGAATTGTACTTAGCTCCATTTGAATGTCATTTGCTAGTTCTGTCCATTTGGCAGGATGCAACTGTTTTATTCCTCTCTTCTGTCTCTACCACCATCAATCATAGTTGAAATGTAAAATGGGAGGAAAACAAAAGGATGATATCAAACTGGAAATGTTGAAGGTTTGGTTTTCTGGATGTTTTCTGGATGTTTTCTGTGCTGTATTAAAATTAAAAAAACAAACTTGCCTGTTCGAGAAGACAACAGGGACAAAATAATACCCAGCGAATGTAATGCATGTCAACAAAGGATATATGTTATAGGCGAGCGAAATCAATGTGAGAGGAGATATGATCTGTTGGGATACAAGCTATACAGTTCCATCTGTGATTAATAAAAACTCCTGACCCCCAAATATGATCAGTGTCTATATGATTTCAAATAAAACTTCTCTTTGTTACCACATAGTGAATACCAACAATTTCAGTGCCTTTGAAAAGCACCACCGGCTTCTCCTTGAACCAATCAGTGATGCAAGCACACAGAGGGTCACAGAATGAGAGAAAGATATAGCAATGTGTACGTAATATAATGTAGATGTGTATATGATAGCCACCGATTCACACTGACTGCCAATGGACAGAACAGACATTAAAGATAAAAGGGAGAGAAAGAAAGGAAGGGTGGGAAGAGGCGGAGGAAAGAACAGAAGGGAGGATCCAGCCTCCTTTTTCTCTCTTGTCCTTTCATCCTCTTCTTCCCTCTCCTCTTTCATCTCTCCTTCATACTGTATTTACAATGCCCTTTCAGTATAAGATGAGGATAAAACTTTCACTACATATCAGACATGGTTTTCCATTCAGCTGAATTAGTCTATATGAAACGCTGTGCATAACATTCCTATGACAACAGTAATGTACTGTACTAATACACATTGAATACGTATGATGATAAGGACTATATATGGCGAAGGGGAGGGTTGGCGAGGGGGGACACTGCGTCCACACACCACCCAGTTTCTCTGGCCATTTACTTAAACCCCAATTTCCAATCCGAATCATGACACGTTTGGCAAGTTTTATACTTATTCACGCTCATCAAGCTTACTTTTTATGACACTCACATTATAGTCAAAGGCATCAGATAAGTCAAAAATAATAAATACATCGAAACTAAAGAGCTTTCACTAGCTCATTTCATTTTTCAACTCATTTTTATATGCACACATTTTAAAATCATGTATCTATTCCTTATTTTGTTTACCACATAGGGCTAGCTTACCTGAAAACACTAATGACACACACTGAGTCTGAGCTTATGTCTTTTTTGCTAGCTACCAAGCTGAAGCTGACTTTTGGCATAAAACTACACTGCACCTAATGTTGTTCAGCAATACACTGTACTAAATACTGCTCTAGCATTCATGTATAAACATCTTGTAATAGCAGCTAAAGCCTTTTAGCCAGCAAGCTACTTGCTACGCTACTGTGCTACTTGGAAGTTCACAGACTTAAGAGACATGCCTCGATATTCATTTGAATAATAAATGTGTCTTTGACTTTATTGTGTCATTTTGTACATTAAGTAGTGTGTGATTGAATGTCCAAAAATGTAAAATTTCTAGCTAACTAGCTTTGTTAGCGTTAGCTTGCCGACTAGTTTATACAGTGACGCTACAGCAGTATGCAGTACGGTATATGGATATTAACATAACAGTAGTGTAGCTGTTGTAGTTCTACGGTTTGCTTCAGCTAGCTAGCTGGTGCTCGGTGTGTTTTCAGTGTTTTCAGATCAGCTAGCCACAGAGCCTTCCTCAAGAAGAAAAGGAAATGTTGCATGGGGAAAATAAATAAATGATTAAATGTATAGGTATAAACCATAACATTTCTTTTTACAATCCATTTTTTCTGTCTAACAATATTATTATGTATTTATTTATATTTTTGACTTGTCTTATAAGCCTTTACTTTACGTTTGTTTCAGGGCTCAAGAACTTTTCACGTTTCATTATTTGTTCGTAAGTGAGTGAAAAAAGTTCTCAGATGTAGCAGAATGGTCTTGCGCAGAGAGATAAGCTACCGTACAATATCTTGAAGTAAGCTTAACAAGTTAAAAGGAAACTTGCAAACCCCATCATTAACTTTCCCTCACACTCCCCCTCTCTAAACATTCTTCCTCCTCTTCCTCTTCTTCAGTGTGCTCGGGTTTGCTGCCCGTTGAGGTGAAGTTTTAAGGCAAGAATGGAAGGACGGGGAAGGGCGGAGAGGGACGTGGGGGGTGGGGTGGCTACTGCTGCACTTCATTAGGAAGCTAATACGGAGATTATTTAATTGGATACTCTGACTTCATCCCCTCCCTCTGCTCTCCTCCTCAACTTGAGGATGAGAGAAGACGTGGAGAGGCCAGGGGCGTCTGACGTGGTTCAGTTCAGTTTACTTCACATCACTTTATTTAAGCTGACTTCAGTTCAGAGCAGTTCAGTTCCCCAGCCTGTAGGATACGCATGTCTGTCATCTGTTTTTATTTTGTATGTCTCTATAACCGCCCGCCAGCTTGTCTGTCTGTCACACCAGCGTGATCTCCACCTCCTCCGTCTTGTCGCTCTTCTCCTGCTGTCGGCGGGGGTGCTGTTTGGGTGGAGGAGGAGCAGCTCGAACCTGCAAGAATACATAATAAATGTAAGTTTTATAAAAAAAAGGCACCAAAAAAAAGTGAGGGAAAGTACTGTCAAGGCAATAACAGAGATGCCCTACTTTTTTCTCACTTGACAAACAGCATAATGTTCATTTCCTGCTGTGGGACACAAACCTTTTATCTCCAAAAAGTATATTTAGTCTCTACTTTTAGAGCCTTTTTTTAAATAAACACAGGAATGAAAATAACTGGGATTCACAGGCTATACAGTTTAATCAACAAAGACATTTACATTTAACAAAACAAGGAAGGCAGAGAGAACCACATGCCATAAAGGTTTGTGTTAGTAGGGCTGCAACTAATGATTATCGACTAATCGATTGATTCTGTTTAGTCTACCAAATGTAAATTATTGCAATTTCATCAGCTCATCAGTGCAAAACCACAAAGATATTCATTTTACTATCACATAAGATATGGACTACAAACAAAGAAACTGGAACTAGGGACTGTTTGTTTTTGCTTGAAAACTGCTTTAAACGGTTAATAGTTATTAAAATAGTAGCCAACTAATTTTTGTAATCCACTTTACAATCTATGTGACAAAACACTGCACTGAGAACAACATCTGATATGTGAAGTGAAAAATCTTCCCCTGATCTAAAGTCTTAATCTGGCGTTACGGCAGCGTGACAAAATAATGGCCCAGATAACCTTGCAGGGAACGAGTTTGTCTTACATTTTATGAAATATATTGTAAAAACAAACTGCAACATATGTTAAAGTCACAGATCAACCTCTTCTTACACCTTCTTATCTCAGGCAAAAGCCTAACTACTTAATCAGACAACTTCAACTTTGGCTCTACTTTCATATCAGAAGTTATGATGACTTTGCTTCGTAAATCAGAAACAAAATAAAATCTTGCACACAAAACACACTTCTTGAATAACTATTATACTAACAGGTCGTAGTTTTCCCGGGCCTCCTTCAGGGGTGAATCTCAGTGGCTGCGGAAATCCTGGAGACACTGGACTCCTGCCAGAGCTTTGATCTACAGAGAGAGAAAGATAGATTTCTATAAACGCGCAATAAAAAGCCACAATGACCTCCTCTCAATTAACTCAATTACATACAAAGTTTGTGTGTGTGTGTGTGTGTGTGTGTGTGTGTGGCTTACTGTGGGTGGATAGCGGTCCCTTGTGTGACGAGGCGGGTGGTGGAGGCTTGTGCTCCCCGTTGAGTGCGGTGGAGGGTGAGCGTGGGAGAGGAGGCGGGGTGGAGGTCTCAGGGCTGGTGAAAGGGCTGATGGGAGGTTGGTCATACAGAGGAAGAGGTGGCAGAGAAGATGGCAACTTGAGCGATGGAGAAATCTAGAGAGAGGGACAGAAATAGAATCACTGAAAATGTGCTGCTCACTTGTGATCCTGAAATAATAAGTCCCGTACTCTTTATCACAACACAACTGATTATACTGACTGACCATCATCTAACTGAAGTCAACTCCACTGAGTCACAGCTGAACAGTTTGGAATATAGACATAAGAAAGGCGTCCTAAACTAAAATATACTAACTAAACTAAAATATGACAAATTCACTGGCTGAAACTGACCAGACTATAATTCGAACCAAGGAACTCCAACATTATAGGTGAAAAGTTAGAAGAAAGGAAATGAATTACAGGCCCAAACATTCATTGAACCTTGGCCTGACGGTAGTCTCCGTGATGTCACCTATAGGTGTCTGACAAGCCTTCTTGGCAGTCTTGACTCGGCTCATGGCTAACTCAAAAACAAGCAAATACATAAGAGCAAGGGTGGAGCTGAGGTGGGCTGAATGAAGCCTTGTTACCGAAAACAGACGCCTGGGATGGCACCCACCACCACCACCACCCTCAATAATAATTGAAATGGGTGAGTTATATAAAAATGTACCCCTCCTTATGGATGGGGACTTCCTCAGCCAGCCTCAAGTGGTCTTGCGAGGAACTGGAGTTACTTCCTTGTTGTTAACTGGTTAAAAACTGGTACTATTCCAGAAAACAGAGTGAGTACACGAGAAAGAAACCAACATAAACAATATGCATGCATATGTTTGTATGAGAAGAAACAGATGCAGTAAAGGGTTAACTATAATTTGCACTAATCTATAGATCCTTAAACCTACATTTTTGTGTTAATTGGGGGCATCGCACAATCTATAATTATATTATATATCGTTTTATATATTATCATCTTATAAAGTCAATATGGCTAACGTGTTAGCAAACAGTTACTTAGTTACACATCAAGCAAACACAGAATGACATTAGCATTAATTTGGAGTCGTGTTTCAGACCATCTGCTGAACTGAAGTCTATCATAACATTCTTGTTTTTTAGTTGCTCTGATATATTTTTCATTCATATATCATAGTAAAAATACTCCACACTAGACTGAGCCCATCATTATTAATTTAAATGAATGAATTAATAACCTTCTAAAATTAAAAAGTCATGGTTATTAATGGCAGATTGACTAGCATTTAACACTATAAATGCAAAACTGAACTTCTAACGTCTAACATGGATGCATGCGATTGTGTGTTGTGGTTGAGCAGGTAGCTGCAGACATTTGATATGTGTAGGTGTGTAACCATGTAACTGCTCACTCAATGTGTGTGTGTGTGTGTTGGTTTTTACCTTATACGAGTACAGGACTTTGCAGGTTAGAGGATAGTTTCGGAGGGTTCCCGAAGGACTAGAGCTGCTGTCGTCAAAAACCTCCATATTCTCTTCACACTCTTCTCCCTCCTCACGGTCCAAGTCCACTGTGCCCTTAAACACACAAATACAGCCAGATAAAGTCAAAAGCTCTGATAGCTACAAGGACAAATAAGAAAAGCCCCATTCACCTCTAAAGCTTCACAGGGAAAACACTCTTGTACTCCAGACCACACACAATCATATATTGAACATATGGTGCCACATGAGCAATTTTACCGTTCACTAACTTAACACATGACAGCCAAAATACCCAAAATTCAACCTTCTGGCTCTGGCCTGTGTGGGCTGCTACCTACAGCTACTTCACTTTTTGTTCTCTCCCATTAACCTCGTTCTTACTACCTCTGCCTTTTACACTCTTGCTGTGTTATTATCCCAACTTCTACTTCCACCACCTCTGGTGCATTTGTTCACCAGTTGCAGGCTCTGTCCATTGAACGAAGTCCGACTTTCACTTGTTACTCTTTTTCCCTTCTTCCTGTGCTAGTGTCACAATTTAATCAATAGCAATGCTTACCTTTTCTTCCTGCCTGAGTTTCTCAGTCCTGCTCAGTGTGGGTACAATAGCTTTTAGAGACAGGTGTAGAGGGACTAATGTTTCATATGATCCAGCCCCTCTCTCTTTTGTTCCATGAGAATTTCACTGGCTTATATGAACGTCATGTGATCTAGGTGGTAGAAAGATCCATCACACACAGCAAGCTGAGCTGGCCATAACAATACAGTGTGTGTGTGTGTGTGTGTGTGTGTGTGTGTGTGTGTGTTTATCCATTCCTAAGTCATTGTGTTTAGTCATCAGATTTCTGTTGACACAGTAAACTCTACACCAGTGCAGAACAAAACAGATGTGTGTTTTGTATATGAGTGGATATCCCAAGTTGGTCCTAGAAATAAGAATCTATTCTCTAGGGAAGTCATAACCTTCAGGTGTGGTCCTAAGGTGTTGCCTTTTAAAGATTTAAACACTTCTGTCGAAGAATGGCTACAAAAGACCCTTACAACTGGAATACATACACTACATGCCTTTGTGTTTCTTAGAAAATCAAGAAACATATATCAACTTTACAAACATAAGCGTAATATGTAATGTAAATGTAATGTACTGCTGCACAGTTAAATTAGCGTTAATTAATTGCCCTAAACGTAACAGATCCTTTTCCAGTACTGCCTGTGCAAGGACAGTACTTATATTGTAGAGAGAGAGTGATTTCCAACACAGCCATGGATTACATAACTGAGTGGAAAGATAGATTCAGTTTGATGGAGAACAACATGATGTCCACTTCCATATTTCTGTTGGCTGCGTGTTTGTTGTGTTACGTCAGTCTGATCCACTTTACTGCATTGATTTAAAAGTACACTCCACTGCCTCCGGGCCAATTCCATTTCATCCCCGAAGTAAAATGACCAGCATGTATTTCAGTAATAACCCAATAAAATATCACCAAAAATACATCTGAGTGTGTGTACCAACCATACAGCTGAGAGGCAGACCAAGGGCCGATTTTATTGGTCCTGGAGGTAATAACTGTAAAAGTGATATTGTAATGAAGGCAATGGCAGCCTGAGGGACTTGAAGGTTGATGGCCTACAGTATTTCATAGTCGAAATAATAAAGTTGAGTGGAATGAAGAAAGGGCCGAATGAAGTGCCCACTCCCCGCTCTCATTGTTCTCCTCTGCAGATTATTATTCACAATCTGTCCATCCTCTCTTCTCTCTCTGACCATCGGCCACCTCTTAACCTCTCCCTAATCAGCAAGCTGCTGTTAACAATTCCTCCTTACTTTTCCTCTCCTTCTTCATTTTCTTTGTTGCACCTTGTTATTATAACCCCCCCAGTCAGTCTCTTAAGGCTACAGTACACAAATAAAATAAAAGGCTGTTGAACTGCTGTCAAATTCCTGAACACGCAATGTGCCTCCTGGTCTGTTCTTTTAATGACACCCACGCCAGATGGAGGAGTTTTCAGCAAGTCTAGCCTCAAAAGGATTTATCTAATAAATAAAGAAAGATAAAAGTTGAAAGTTAAAGTTAAAGTAAAAAATGCATGCCCAAAGGACACACGACACTGCCAACTAAATATGTGTATCTGGAAATGGAAATGTGTCAGCTGTTAGAACGTTTTTGGCTTGGACTAAATCTAAACACAGTTTTTTTGTTTTGGTCACCATTTTGTTTGTTTATATGAAATATCGCATACTGTGGCTTTACAGTATATTCATCTATGTTCTCTGCACTTTTTTCACAATCCCTCCGTCTCTCTCACCTCTGCATCCAATTTTGTTTCAACATTATCACTCTGACGCCACTCCCTCCTCACCTCTCCCCCTCACCCTCTCCTCCACATCACACCACCTCTCCTTTTTCTCAGCCAACTCTCTCTCCTGCTTCTCTCGTTCTTCAGTAATTGTCTCTCGAAACACTCCCTCTTTCACTGCGCAACTCCTTCTATCATCCCTTCTTTTCTCTCCATATATCTCTTCCGAGATTGCTCTCCCCCTCATTCTCCAGACTTTCTTTCCCTTTCTCACACTCAGCCTCTCTCTCTCTCTCTTTCTCTCTGGTGTTAGCTGCAAGCTGCAATATCATGTGAGCAGAGTGTCAAGTGCTTCCAATGGAGCAGGCCGACTATGTTTAGTCCTGCTGACAGACACACACACACACCACGCCTCCCCACGAAGTCCTGTGTGGGATTACACTTCTAGTCATGTACATACACTTTCCTCCCTGTGTACCCACTGGAGACACAGAAACGCACACACAAATGCACAAACATAAATGCACA